GCGGGGCGGGGCCTCCCAACGGCCGCCGCGCGGCCTTGTCCGCCCCGCGTCCTCCGCGGCGATTGAAACCCGGGCGGCCCCGCGGGGAAGGAGGCTGCGCCGATTCCCTCATACCGGAGCGTGCCCCAAAGACAAGATTTTTTTCCCCCTAGAAGCCGTTGATACGGTGAGGCATCCACCTAACCCATATCTTTGACCCGTAAGAAGCTTAGACTGCTCTTGCCTGCACTAGGAGCTACCTTTTTTAGCTTTCAGGAAGAGCAAAATAATGATTCATGGCAAACTATTGCTTACGGAGGCACAGTGGCATTTTATCCTGAGCAATTTTAAGTAAGACATCAAAGAAGTTTACTCTTTTAAAACCCACCTGCCTGCCAACAAGCCTCCAGTTTTGACAGAGTATCCCGTTTCCCCGAGGGCTGGTGCTGAATTTGTTATCAAGTGATGGCCACAATAAATGTGGTTGGAAAGACAAGTGGAAATATATGTACTTTTTAGCTGTAGTACAATTGGGAAAATATGGCATCAAGTAGTTTTAATTACCACAAGACTGAGATTTTTTTCCTTTGTACTCCTTCAGATGTCTTAATGCTGGTTTTACAACATGAATAATAATTGGTGAGCATCAGAAAAAAATAAAGATAAATTGTTGGCTCTTGGACCTAGGCCAGGAGACCTTTATGCTTAGCAGTATGTTGCATTTATATTTCAGGCACCTGAGGGAAAAAAAAAAAACTGTGGAAAAAAAAAATGAGATCTTGCAAGCTTTGCAAAACAGCAGAGATGACTGAATTTAAGAAGAAAAATAGCTGTTTTACGTTCTTACATTTCTACAAATAGGTCAGTGGACAGTACTGAAAGAATACCCATATTAATCCTACAGATAAGATTTCAAAATGGAATTGATCCAGATAGTAGGTTGGGAAACCATCACAGGTTTCACAACAGGTTATATAGTCTCCATGCTCAGAGATTTTCAGAGCTGGGCTGGACAAATACTGTACGACTTGGCCTGACAGTGAAGTTGACCCTGTGAATATATGATCTGTTCCAGATGGCTCCACAGCTAATCGTATGACAAAGTTGAACCTCACAGATTTCTTCTGGCGAGCAAGGAGAATAATCTGGTGATGAGAGGTATGGTAGAGCAAAAATATTTTTTGTAGATAGTTATTATTTGTAGACACAGGCAGACAGCTCATAAGTTAAATCAGAGGCCTTGCTGATGCTGAGGTAGCTTGCCAAGCTCTAAAAATCAATTAGTAGTTTTGCCCCTATTTCCCCTTCAGTCATTCTGATTTTACAACCTCAGATCTTAGGTGATTCCTGCCCTGTTTCATGCAATAGTGCGAAAGCTGTTTTTTTTTTTCTTTTTTTTTTCTCCCAGCTTTCCATTGTGACTGAGTTACAGTCTGTAGAAAAAAATAATGAAATGGAGCATTATTGATTGAAGACAAATCCACAAGGGGCCATAATTATGTAAAACTTACTTAGTATTTAGTGACAATACTGAAAGGATAATGACAGTGGACTTGTTTTCAGCAAATGAACACAATTATTTTTGACTGCATATATTCTTTGGCAGCTCTGTACCTTTGCTTTCCATGGGAGGAAAAATTTTCTGGGTTACTGAAAAAAATAAAGAAGAGAAAGACTATGTGCAAGCCAAAGGGGCTTTTTAGACAGTCAGCTGCAGAAAGCTGTAGGCCATAGAAAGGTCGTATAGAAAGGCCACAGCTGATCTTAGAGCGGGTGAAATTCCACAAAAAGGCTATCCTTGCCAGTGCTACAAAGATAGTGCATTTGTCCAGGAAAGCTGGTTTCGAACAACTATAAGATTGGATTGTCTGAGAAGTGTGCTTTGCTGTAGTGTCAGATGTAAATACCCCTCTGGACTTTCCTTAAAAAGTAAGCTTGATTACTTGGTGGGGTAATTGAAGCAACCATTATTACTTTTCCTCTTTCATTTGTGCAAATGCTGAGCAGTTAAAAATTAGATTTGGATACCATCCGATCCTCTTAATAAGGACACAAACTGAATCAGTGCGTTTCCTGAAAACACTGGCATATATCTCTTCCCAGCCAGCCTCACACTTAGAGCAAACAGAATTCGTACCAAAGAGCTCTATAACACCAAGTGACAAACATCTGCCTCATCACGAGATGTATGTTCTTCCTCATCTGAATGCAAGTGTCTGCTTAATTCTCTGGAGAATTTCCAAGCTTTCTGCTTTTATGCTCAAAGAGAAATTTTCTTCCTGAGTCCGAATTAATGATCATTCAAGTTATATTAACAGGAGGAGGAAGCCAGGAGTCACATAGCTTATCTTTTTCTCCAAACTGGTTCTATTTACCTCACTGTTAGCAGAGTAACTGTGAGTACGTGTGTAAACCAAGCATATATTATGCTTTGGTTCATGATGAGTATTCATTTATTTTTACAGTACTTATTTTTACGAAACTCTAAATCCACACCTTTGTGCACAAGTGTTTGGAGATGTTGATAGGCCTAAGAGGAGGGATGCTAAGGAATTCAGTTCAATATTCCATCATGGCTTCATTTAGGACACACTGACACTGACACTTTGTTTTGAGCAGAACCACACTGCTGCTTTGTGAGAGCATAGTTTTGTTCAGACTGCCCTTGGAGGGACCTGTGGGGCCGGACTAACAGTTTCTCACAGATGTTGTGGAGCAGGCTGACCTAGGAGCTGCAGGAGGGAGGACTGCCTGCCAGCTGTGGGGCAGGACCTCCTGGATTGACCCTGCTGCTGAACACGGAGTTTGGGAAGGGTACGAGTCAGGGACACTTGCCTCAGCCTGCAAGGTGGCACCTCTGAGCTCAGCGTCCAGGAAACCATCCCGAGCTCTGCCTGAGCTTTGTGGCTGGCACCCAAATCCGTATGGAACGGGGGCCCCTGCTGCTGCAAGAGGAGCACTCACCCCTCATTCACCATAGAGATGTATCCACTTGGGGCCTGGAGCAACGTGTCCCTCTTTCCATGCTATTTCAAGAACTCTCAGGAAATATCTTTCAGCTAGGGACTCCTCGACCTGCTGCTTTAAAGCATAGTCACTTGTTGGATTCACTTTTAGGCCCCAGAGCCAGCACCATGCCAAATGACTTGCGTAGATGATGTTTAGGGAAGGCAGGTGAGTTAATCTTGTGCAAACATGTGACAATCGTCCTGTTGTCTAACCTGAGGCTTTTTCTTTTCTCAAGCCAACAGAAGAATCCAGGTGACTCTAATAGAAAAGGACCAAGCCCTAAACAGAGGGCATAAGAGATGGATTCATCAGACCAAACATGGATATCTACAGTTAAGGCTGCGAGAACCTTAGCAGAAATATGCCTTGCCCTGAAAATGTCTGTGTTGACCGAAGAGGGAGTCTAGGTTTGTTATCTGAGATGGCAGTGAAATTAATTCTCCTCTCTATTCTGAAATGTGGTAATTACAATCCCATAGTTAGCATTTATGAATTTCATATGTTACAGAGATCCTCCAGAAAAGCTGTAGAGAGGTTTTGGCA